AGACAAAACGGTTGGCCATAATGTCTGTGCAGAGTAATCAGTAGATGGCCATATCAGCATATTGCTCGGCTAATGGCCGGTGGCCGACCGTTGTATTGATCCCTGATGAGTTAGGTTATATCTTGTGTTGGGTAATTCTTGCCAGGTTATTCCTTGCCAGGATGTTTGGAACACTGCATTGATCATACACTTTACTACTATTTTTATGAATCCTTTAAATTAATGATTAACTCATTAAGTTGCACTGTGCCCCACTTTATTATTTTCCTCTGTCTAATGCCAAATTATTGTACTCCATCGAATGACAGACAATTTTACTCATCAAGGGGAGGAGCTGACACTCGATGATTTGAATGAATAATATGATATATTCATTGATGACATATTCATTTTTTTTTTACTACTGTAGGGCTCCAGAAATCAGAGTCCGTAACTTCCATGGTTCGAATATGAGACAACGGATAGATAACTTGGCGAAGGTTCAGTCCAGGAATGGAGTGTGTTTAACTACTTACGGTCTTGCAAACACCTGTCATAAACAGTTTAGTGAGGATAGATATGGCGACACGTTCACGTGGGTAAGCTAGACAACAGACAACTTGCATGTTGGACTAATTTTTGACCTAGGCAAAAATTACAAATGTTGCAAAATTGCAAACTTTGGTTACGAAATGTTGTAAAATACGGAAAATACAGCATTGCGAAGTTTACATATTTTGTATATGTTTGTATAGACCCTTTGCACTGACGTCACAAATCCTTAGAGTGTCCTCCAGATGCTCCCTAACAATATCTGTTCGGGTACAACAACCACATACAGCGCAAAAACTAGCCATTTTGATACAAAATTATTATAAAGTTTTACAAAATTTTCTTTGTTTACAAAAGTTATATTATGCATTGATTGCTAATTTGTCCTCCAGATGCATCATCACCGGCGCTGTGACGTCATGTGTAATGGGTCTATTGAGTGCGGAAATTGTTACCATTTTTGAGCCGAAAATGGTAACAATTTTTTTCGCACGTACTGTAATGCAAACATTTATCTTACAAAATTTGCAAACTTTGCAAGACTATACTTTCCAAGCTTTACAACATTTCGCAACCAAATTTTGCAGTCTCACTAATTTCATAATGTTCTTTTTAGCTGTGGTGTTTGATTCCCTTGATTCCCTTGATCTTTTTACTAATACAGTAGATTAAATTTAGTCTAACATGCAAGTTGTCCATTCATCCTAGCTCTCAACTGCAAGTAAGAATGATTAATTAGCACACCCCAACTCACACACTTACCGACTTATTCTCTAGGATTACATCATACTTGATGAAGGACACAAGATCAAGAACACTGCTAACAAGACGACCATCGCAATTCGAGCCATCCCAGCTAACAACCATTTTATTTTAACTGGAACACCGATACAAAATAATTTGAGGGTAGGATTGATTGTTTCTTCATTACTTCTTAGAGTCGCCGTTGGTTTCGATCGTAACGGGGCAGTTTTCGGCTTTCGGAAATTTTACCTTATTCCGATGGCTGCATTTCTGAAGCCGACCACTGAATGGTGTCCAGTAATGCTTACTGAAACCCGCGCCAATATAAAAGTATTAGAGGAGAATCTTAAAAGGTTCATAATTCAAAATGTTTGTTCATCTCTTGCAGGAAATGTGGGCTCTCTTTGATTTCGTCTGTGAAGGACAACTTCTTGGGACGTCAAGATCGTTTAAACAGGAGTATGAAAATCCCATTGTTCGAGTAAGTTTATTGAAAAATAAATACTCGTCTTCATTGCCGCGCGAAAAGAATCGTCGCCGTTTGTCTATACTAGAGTATTGGTGATCAGTCGTTAGTGCATCATTGGGCAGTGTGGATTATAATAATTAACTTTTGATAACCAGTCCCAACGATCCATGCAACCCAAAAGTTCTTAGTCCGGATTGTTTAGTCGAATTTTCTGTATGTCTGCTAGAGCTGTGCAAACTCCGGTTATTTTAGCTCCGGGTCCGGCAGTCAAAACTCCGGCTCCGGCAAGGAAATTTTAAGGAAATTTCATATTTAAAAGTAGAAGCAGGCGAAGTATTTCAGTGTAATTTCAGAATTTATTTTATTCCTTTTTGAGCTTTCTCCTCTACTTATCAAATAGACGTCCTTTGGTGCTTGTTTAAACGACGTTTTGCAGAAAGTATAAAACCGCATGGCAGCGTAGTATTTTCGGCCAATATACATCGGGGTTAGCGGATTTTTGTATCAAAAGCGATAGCAATGCGCTTGCAGAATTTTCGAAGACACAAATCGGATTGGAGCAAGTAATTAAACTTTATAGTAACTTCAAATCATTCAACTTAATTTTTCCATTACCAAAAGTTCATTGAAATATGAAATAATTTTTCATAATTTTGTCTGCGCTCCGGCGCACAGCTCTAATGTCTGGGACATAAACTTGGTGGTGTAAACTGTTGTTGCACGTCACAGCGAAGTCAAGAAACTCTTCCGTGTTTT